CTGTAGCAATGGTCTCACTAGCCCAGTGGGCGGAACACAACAGGGCAACAGGGCTTTGAATGTGTTCACGGCAGCCTTGCCTGTGGCATGTTGGATTTTTGTAGTCATTATTTTTTTTAAGTCTACAAGAAATAAGTCATACTCTCCACAAAAAGTTTATCTAGTAAAGATGTATAGAATGTAAGATATTTAAACATATTGGGTTTCAGTTTAAAAGCCTACTTCTTTGTGAGTTTTTGGCTGACTATGGATTAGTTACGTGAAGTCATAGCTTTCATGTGATTCTAGCAGTCAGATTTTTTTTCAGGGAATTGAAAATTCGTGGGATACCAACGCCAAGAACTATGAGAAAAAAGAAAAACATCCATAGACAGGGGTTTAGGGATCTTTTTGGTACCTTTTCTTCCCCCTTAACAATGGCCAGATTATTGCGATACTTAATTTTGTCCAGGCTCATTCACTTCTGTTAAAAAAAAAAAAATATCCTGAACAACTGAAAATTGCTTAATGGAGACAGAGTGCTGGGTCTCTGTAGCTTGAGGCTGCCTAGCAATTATGCTGCATGAAATTAGACACAGTTTGTTCCAATTACTTAAAATCAGATCACATGAAAAGTGACAGAGGAAAAAAAAGGGTAGAACTTCCTCATTTTATGGTATTTTAATTAAGAAATCAGAAACTACATGATGTGGAGAAACAACCGAAATTTCTACAGAAATTTTGAGGGCCATTTTATGGCTCTTTGAAGCAAGTAATGATTCAGGTAATTTTAATGATCCAAAGAGAATTTTCCTGACACCACTTGCATCAATAAAACATGAACTCCATTTCCTTTATATGAATGTATGTAAAACTTGCTCACAAACAGGCATGAAAAAATACTCTTGAAAACACATGACAAATAAATCACTGTGACAATTCTCAATTTTCAAAGTAACTAAAGATAAATGGCATAAATATTAATTTTTATCCAGTTCTAGCCATAATGTTAAGACACACCTAACAAGACAGGGCAAAAGGTGTGCCGTCCAGCTATACTGAAGAGGGACCACTGACATATTTATTAGTGCCACTGAAAATCACCGAAAGAGATTTCCACAGGACCTGTAAAACTGTAAGCAAAAAATATTACAGAAGATGTTATAGACTGAAAACTGCTTTTGTACCTTAGTCTACAACTTTATATGGCAAAGAGTCTGAATAGCTGGATGCTAAAATTAGCGTATTTTGAAATCAAGCTTATATTCTGGTTGGGTAGTAAGAACTGCTGGCCTGGGTAACCTTTAACTTTAAAGGATCTTAGAACTCTGGATGATAAAATTGAGGATTAGAAACTTGTCCTTTGTTCAAAGTTGCATAGTTATGAGTGGCAGCATAATTTATACAATCTAATAGGGTCACATATATTATCAAAAATTCTTCAACTAGTGTAGACACAGAAATACTATACATCAAACCATAATTCAGTATTCTATCCATAAGATAAGAGATTCATTTGGTATGTATTGTGTGACAAACCATTATATAGTGGGAGTTATGTGTTAAACCTTAGGGTAATGGATTGCTTTTAGCTCAGTATCCAATCATGAGATTTTAGCTGCAATGGCTGGCATGTTGTAGGATCATTGTCACCTGTGATCTTCACCTATTATGAGGTTTATGTACTTTTATTTGAAAAAAGTGGGTTGACATCACTTTTAGGAATGAAGTGAAGAAAGTAGTGTCATGGATCTCAAATTGGGTTGCTTATAATTTCTGTGGGCTTTGAAAAAAAATTTATTATATAGTTTGATGTTGCATCTGAGTGAAGAGTATCTGTGTATCACGTCAAGGTATAGCCATTCCTTTGTTCCACAAACATTTACTGATTTCCTGTTATGAGCTAGTCTGGGCTTTGAGGATGGTGAATGGGAAAGGCAGAGAGTTTAGAGTTGGTAGATGAGATGGAAGAGACATGCCAGCAAGAAACAAATAAGTAAAGCATGTGTTTCAGAGTGATGCTAGTTATTAGGGAGATAAGAAAAAGACTGATTTGAGAGTAGTAAGGTGGGGTGGTGGTGAATGGGTAGGGTAAACCCTGACACTCAAGCCGACACCTAAAAGTGACAGTGGAACAGGAGCCGGTGATAGGAAGCAGCTTGGCTTTTGGAGGGCCAGAAAGAAGGACTGTGTGGCTGGGCAGAGGGATGGAATGGGGATGAGAAGTGGGCAGGGCTGGATGGTGGCGGGCCTTGCAGGCCATGGTAAGCAGTCTGGAGGTTTTTGAATAGGTGACATTAACGGGAATTATGAAAGACATTTGCCACATCCTTTGGTCATGGTGAGGCTTAGACACTGGAAAGGAAGCAGGAATTCACTGACTCATGTCTGCTGCTGGCCAGCCCTTCTCCTGGCCAGTTTCCTTACCTGTGAAACAGGAGTGAGGATAGATCCCATTTATGTCACCCAAAGGGATATAATAGGGATTAATTACCACCTTGCCTGTAATATACTTGGAGCTCTTTAGAGAAAGGCACTATATTCCATGAAAGCAAAGCCTTATTCTGATTGTATATTTATTGATTAAGTGACAATCAAAGACAATGCTTGTGGGAAAAATTGTTAGATCTCTGCTCTCCACACATGAATCCCATTTGTATAGCTATAGAACATATTTAAACTTACATATAAGAACACTGAAGTGGTCATTAACAAGCCTTTTTAGCAACTAATCAGACATTATTAATGAGATTAAAAGCTATGTTAACTAGCATTCAATAGACCAGAATTTAGTCTCTATGGCACAGATAGTTAAATTGAGGGTTGAGGGTGCCCTTTCCCTTTTGTAATGAAAAGGAGGGTTGACTCTCAGGACAACTTTATCTTGAGAGAATTTATTGGAATGTGGTGTTTCAAGCCAGCCAATGTCTTCGTAGATGGAAACCATGCCCTCAGCTCCTCTCCTAGGCTGTAGAAATGTGTGTTTCAAATTTTGGTACACTTCATTATTGAACAAAAAGGTCTATGCCAAAACTAATTTCAGTAGAATTCCAAATACTCTTACAAGAAGGTGTGAATTCCATTTTATTATCTAATCCTGTAATACTTTTTATCCATTCTAACTCATGAGAAACATAGCTCGATTTACTCTTAGCATGCAAAATATGCTGGTGTCTGAACTTACACTGGCCTGTGTTTAGAATCCCCGCATGTGCTGACATTCAGATATGGAAACCAACTTTGGTTGCACTTTTTTTGTGCTTTGCTGAAGAGCTAAAATATAGAGTGGTTTTTAAAAATTACACCAATTTTAATGCCTTACACTGGCCTGTGTTTAGAATCCCCGCATGTGCTGACATTCAGATATGGAAACCAACTTTGGTTGCACTTTGTTTGTGCTTTGCTGAAGAGCTAAAATATAGAGTGGTTTTTAAAAATTACACCAATTTTAATGTTGATATTTGCATCGGTTGGAGGGACAATGTCAGGCTTAACTACAGGGGACTGATTGTTGGTCCAAAAGGTTCAGTTTAATGAAAATATTAAGTCAGGGTGGTATTCTTTTATGTGGTAAAAAAAAAATGGCCTGCCCTTATTTTAATCCTATAAAATACAATGAAGATCATACTAAACTTTCTGTGTTTGCAACAAATAAATTTAAGAGATATCAAGGTTCTGCAAGTATCCTAAGTAGCTATTTATACACTTCACTAATCTTTGTAATTGGCTTGCCTTTTACTGCCATTAATTAGATGATGTAGTATTCCATTAATAAGAGTGACACACCTCAGCATTTTTACCTTTAATTATAGACTTCACTAGACACTTAGGTTATTGACAAAATGGCCTGACTATTGCCTGCTGTACACATATCTTTCTTGTTCTCTTTCAGCACCCTTATCCTTCTGAAGAACAGAAAAAGCAGTTGGCACAAGACACGGGACTCACCATACTTCAAGTCAACAATTGGTAAGTCATTTGGCTTTGTGTTTACACACAATCTGTTTTCCCCTCTGGCAACCTGCAGCTAATGTTTTGCATTAAGGAGACACACCCAATTGCGGCTGCTATTCCTGGTGGCTTGTTGATCCAAAGGTGGAAACAAACTGTTGACTGATATGTGAGAACACTTGCTGGTATGGAAAATGAAACATTGCATTGCCTTCCACCTCCTTTATAAATTGACCAGTTTTATGCACAATATAAGTATGTGTTTAATTCACATACACTGTAGCTCTGTATATGTATCGCCCTCTCTGGCTTCTTTTCCCCTTCGGGATGATCAATAGAGTGGTATCATCCTATTTTCTATGAAACAAGAAAATCCACCATCACCTATCAGTCAGGTTTTAAATTCATGGAATAAATAAACTCAGTTAGATTTTGTTAGGGTTATGCATTCAAAGATAGTCTCCCCTTTTCTCTTATCTCCCGAATATTGAAAGGGAGAAATTATTTGTTTCTCCTTTGAAGCTATTGAAAGCCTGATGTATCTTAGGGCTGTGCAATACTGTTTCTAAATAAAGTGTAAATTCCTGATTTGGGGCAAAGCTGAGATTATGTAGCCAGTACCAGCCAACAATATTCTGACTTAATGTACAGCGCTGTGGCAACGAGGCTTTGAGAAGGTATGATTTATTACCCTTTGTGAATGTGCTGAAAGCCAGATTTCATATAATCACCCAGGGCTAGTGTCATATTTGAAGGGTATCGAAATCCAATATCCTCCAAAACTAAGTGTATCTAATTAATTGTCCTAATATTTTTACATTAGTGTTTATGATGGGGAAACCTTATCCTCTTTGAAGTAAAATCCAGAAAAGGCCCAAAGCCTGGTTGGGGAAAGAGAAGAAGTGGGAATGCCAGTCTGTAGACAGAGGTATTTCCTTCTGTTCAATAAGTGTCAAAGATTAATATTACAGAATCTCTGATTACATGGCCTAATCCATTTTGGTGAATAAATTTGTTCTTGATGTCCATTGCACCTACATTAACAGACCCTTCTCTGTTAGAGAGTCTGGGAGCCTTAGGGAGAGATTTTAGATATATTAAACCCCATTACAGAAAATGTAATTTCTGTCAATATAATCCCATGTATTCTTCAATTTAGTATTTTAGAGATAACAAGCTACTTACAATATATTTGCCTTTGGAGGATTAATTTACAAAGTGCACTATCTGCAAGACACAGACAGATTCACATAAGCATTGCTTGTAAGGGTTATCAATTTCTATGACCTTACCCCAGCCTTGAGAGATCAATTTTTGCAGCCCTTTTAGTCAGTGGATAGGGAACCAACCAAAGGCATACTACATCTAAATGTGTTACTAGGAGCTGTGTTACTGCTGAGGTTTTTTGTTTGCCTATTTTTACCTGCTATTATACCTTAATTTTCAGGACTGTTAATACTAAGTATTTGAACTTAGTCTTTCAAATGGTTCTGGATGATATCATAGGGGAGACCATCAATTTTGCATGCGCACCTTAATTCTTATATTTTGAACTTAAACTGATGGTGAAGCAGTTTTAACACAATGGAGGCTGTACAAACAGCACATTTCCCTGGGAGATGTTCCTGTTTAAGGGCAAAAGAGCGGCAGGGCGAGCTCTCTAATTAAGGAGCGCAAAGGCGCTGCCGATCAGGTGATCTATCATACATGCCATCTCTCTTCCTCCTCAGTGTTGCTAGCAAACTCCATTCATAAACATGGTTACCAGAGAACCAATTCCAATACAAGTCGCTTTCTATGGGCGGACAACCTTATGGGATATTTCCTGTGAATGCAGGGACAGGAAGGCATTCCTGTAACATCAAGCAGCATGTATACGTTTTCATTTTCCTAGATTCTATGCACAGCCTCTACTGGAGAGCAACAGTTCTTAATCAGTGATCATGATTCAACTTTCCCAGTTTTGTATTTAGAAGGGAGGAAAAGGATCTTTAAAAAACTTATAACACATACTGTAAAATTATTTTTCAAAGTGTATGCATCCTTTACCCTAAACTTCACGCTGAAACTCCATTCTGCACAGGTTATTTATAAACGAGGTTATATTTACTTAGTTATTTGGGACCTAAAAACAATTCTGTTTGTAACTGGCACTTTGTGTCACATACTCTCTGGCTTTTGCTTATACGTCATTGCTTTGCATTTGGCAATTGTTTCGACTCTTAACACACTTAGTTTGCTGTAGAGAATGTCCCTTGAGTAACTAAAAGTTTTAAGAAAGTTTCTCTTAAGTTTGGTGAATAATGTCATTCCTATGTTGTACTCTCTGGCTTTTGCTTATACGTCATTGCTTTGCATTTGGCAATTGTTTCGACTCTTAACACACTTAGTTTGCTGTAGAGAATGTCCCTCGAGTAACTAAAAGTTTTAAGAAAGTTTCTCTTAAGTTTGGTGAATAATGTCATTCCTATGTTTGATTTAAGTTTTTAATAATGGTTTCTTTTTTTTTTTTGTCTTTTTGTCTTTTTTCCGTGTCCGGCAACGGATCGCAACCCTCAGTGTTGCCCCCGTACCGGACCGGTTTAATAATGGTTTCTTAATTTTCATCCAAACCTCTCCTTTTAAGGAGATGATAATAGATTTATTTTTCTTTGGGCTTTGAGTAGGAAATACAATGCAAAAATGGGGAAACCCAGATGGCACCGTTTGGAAAGTGTCAGAGCATCTTACACTATAGCATATTTGAGAACAAAAAACAGAGTAACTACAGAGTGATTTTCTTTTTACTTCATTGTGATATAGAAACACACACACATAAAATTTGTTTGAGAGTTTGTAAACATTTTTCCTGTACTGAGCATCTGCCCAGGTTTTTTCATTCTAGAAATAATAATTTTTAAAAGTCATCATTTGGGTTTTAGCATTTTCCCTTCACTTCATTTAGCCACAACTCTTAAAATTTTGTGTCTTCCCTTCTTGGATTTCTTAAAACTTGTTAACACACATGTACATTTTCGTATGAACTATGAGTCACTGTTGAAGAGATTTAATAAAATGCTGAAGGGTAAGTTGGGTGTAGATCAGTCATAATTATTGGCAGCAACATAATGTATTGAAATACACAATACGTAAGTGAAAAATATAAACTCACGTCTAGTTGTTCACTTGTCATGGAAACCCTGCCTGATGCAGCTTTAAGTTAGACTTTGACTGAAAAGTGAGACAAGAAGTTTGGTCCATTGTGATGGTTCTTTCACTACATCATTGAATTAATTTTACACTTTGTCAATTGACATAAGTGATATATGCTACCGGCCTTGGCTGACTAAGGCTAAAGTAGATGGAAACTGAGGAGAGAGGGAACAAAAGAGAGAATTTAATTGTAAACAACAAGACAGATTTGATTAGGAGAAAATTTAGAATCAAAGAAATTAATTGCGATGACTCATACCTGGTCTACTGGTCATAATAAAAACAGAGAGAAGAAATTTTTAAATGGTTGGCATTAGTACTATAGCATTTGGGTCCTGGGTTGGGCTGAGAAATTTGTTAGACGAGACAGGCACTTATGCGAACCATTTTGTTAAAAAATTTTACCTAAATTATCTAGGTATTTGACGTAACAGCATATTTTTAAAAAGTCAACTTTCATAGCTAATTGCCTAAATATTTTAATCTCGTTTGTTGTGGTAGACTCGAATTAAAAGCATAATCACTTTTGAAATGCAGTATGCATCATAAGTTTATGTATTCTTCCTCTTTTGATCTCTCCTTCCCAATTATGATTTTATCCAAAAATGACAAATAACAGCATTTGGGACTTTTGTCTTTTTGTTTTTCCATTGTTGTGGTGTTTGTAACAAATACTTCTATTATATCAACAGTGAAAACGTATTATTAATATGCTGAATGTTTTAGTCACGTAAGTAGAAACATTTTAAAATTGGGGATTAGATGGTTATTTAGGTCTTTAAATATTTAGATAGAACTTTAAGGAAACACACACTCACACACACCTACAAAGTTAATACTTGGTTCTTTTTTCTCCTGAATATACCAATTTTATTTTTTTATGTTGAAAATGTGAGTGTAGAATGGTCAAGTAAAAACTCCCTTATATGTAGTCTCATCTCACTGTTGCAGACCTGGGAATTCGCTGTGATGAAAACTTAAGCCTTGTGATTGTGTTGTAGTAGCTGGATGCCTTACACATATCCTGTCTCAGCAGCATCTTAGCCTAGGGTGCACCAAATAAATTTTACGGTTTCTTTGTTTACTACTTCTCATCCAAACACTTTCCCATTAGGGCCTGATATCAAATGATTGTCCCTTTATGCTCTGAGAAGGCAAAATGGGTTTTAGGTGCAAGTATATGTGAAATACAGTATGTGTGTAGATACATCTCTACAATCAATAGGGTAGAAAAAATTTCAAGTAGCATCCTCCCATCCGAGGTGACATCTGAGGTGACAGTGTTTGGAACTACTGCACTCTACGGTTCTCAGATTTAGTGCACATACCAGATTTTCCTAGTTACTTCATTTATTGCCTTCAAAACTGCAAAGCATTCAGGCATCACTCCCCATTTATTACTAGTGGGGGAAGAAAAAAGAATGCTATCCTTAGAGATTTATGCCACTGTCAGGTAAAAATGTAAACTTATTTTTTAAAAATAGGATTTCTTTTATTATAATAAACAGATTCAACTGTTAAAGGTCAAGTTTCTTTCTGAGTTATGGTAATAATGTAGCAAATACTTTTATAAGTAATCAAAGATTCTATAAATATAGGTACCTGTTTAGATGTAAATGTTAAAACATTCACAAATTATCCTTTCAACTTCTGTGATCTAAAAATCAATAGGGGTCATAGGGTTTCATAGAATTGTTCTGTTTTTTTCTTCCAACATAATTTAATAATACATTTTACAGATGTTGTTTAAACATTAGGCACAGATTGTTTTGTCAATAAAGCTAAACAGAGGCATGACACAAAAGCAAGAAAAACAGATGTAAGAA